ACTTCCGTAGCTTTATTCCTTTTCAATATAAACGTAGCTTAATTTCTTCTCTTATAGATCGTTTCTTTCGTCCTTTCTCCAATTATGAGAACTTTAATTTCACGCTCATTTAGAACTATATCGCCAGATTCTTAATAAGAATTGTTATCCAACTCGTCTTCAGTTTTGATCGCTGCGTACGAACATTTTTAGAAAATGTGTCTCAGCCCAAACCAGCTGTTCATTCTCGGCTCCTAAGAAAGTCCTATATTTCTCTCTTCCATAAACTGGCGCTCACTCCCTTCAAATTCGCACCCAAATCTCCTATCTTTTTTCCTCAGCCTTTCCTCATCTTAATATTAGATTCGTTTTTCGTCCAACTTTACGTCTGTCTCAATTCTTCACCTTTAAGGACAAAATTCCTAAGGCTTTAAGATCTTGTGTTGTGTATTCTTTCACGTGTCGTTGCTGTTCCGCAACGTATTTGGGCCAAACGGTCCGTCACTTGCACACACGAGTATCTGAAAACTTGGGTGTTTCTCCTCTAACAGGCAGTAAAAGCAGCAATCCGACCATGTCTAGTATCCTTTCCCATCTTGATAGCACTGGTCACTCCGCCTCTCTTAATGACTTTAAGATTATTTCTTGTTGCTCTTCTCCAGACGAACTCCTCATTCGAGAAAGTCTTCTCATTAACAAACTCAAACCCTCTCTCAACTTACAAGGCAGTTCGGTACCTCTACTTCTACTCTGATCCATTCCTCTTTCTACTTTTGTAATATAATATCTTGTAAATAGTTGTAATTTATTCATATTTCGGCTTTGTATGTCATTGCTGTGAAAATGTCTTAAGTTAAAGACGAAACGTTAGCTTTCTAATAAATATTTTAAACTATATTTTTGTTTTGGTTCTTTTACGTATTTTCTGCTGGGCATTAATATTTATCTTAAGATTACAATGATATTCCTGATCTCGTACAAAATGAATAATTAAAAGCCCAACGGGAGAAAGAGATGTTGTTTAAAGGTCCAGACACACCGGGCGCGATTCGACAACCCGACGCGATTTTTTAGTTTTTGAAAGTTAATAAAACAGCCAATAAGAGCAAATTTTGAAAGATATGTGGACCAAATAACTCAAAATGTTATAGCGCTTCTGAATATTTGGAAAATTCAAACGAGGATCAAAGTTATCGATCAGTGAAAATCGAAAAATCGCGTCGCGTTGTTGAATCGCGTCCGGTGTGTCTGGACCTTAAAGCTCCAAGACAACTAAACAGAAATTTCAACGTCTCTTGTCACAACGCAAACAGTTCAAGCCGCGCGACAAGTGGTACTACAAATTTGCGATCATAAATGTTTTGACATAACTAAAAAGCCTTTGTTAATGTAATTAATCTCCTCAAACTGTATTAAATTCATACAGTGGATCGATACACAACACGTTTCTTCACAATTAATTGTTTGAAGCTGTACAGCGTCGTCGCTTTGCTGCCGTAAATGTCATTAAGGTCCCTAGTAACTAAACGTGGAGGTACTGGCAACTCATAAAATCGTGCAGAGCGGTTAATATAGCTTCGAGTTGTGCCGACAAAAACTAAACTCCATTCGAAGATTGGCTACCTACAGGCATATATAATTTGAACACTCTGACTCTTTTTCACTTAAAAATATAAACAAAAAATCCTGACCGTGAACAAAAACGGCAAGTGGGCACAAGCTCCATATATGCAAAAACGCCAAGTGGGTGGTACAATCTCCACAAGCAAAAGCGGCAAGTGGGCACAAGCTACAAGCCTAATAAGCTTAATTACTATTTGTTTAAAATAATAACGGTTTCTCATTGGTTAACAGCCCGACTGAGAAATCCGCGTCATATCAACTCAATAGATGACCAAATATAAAGTTTTGACATTAATATTCAACGGAGTGACGTATAATGTTGATATATTAAACTGAATCATATTCAACGTTATGATTCATGCTGTGGAGATACGAAATGTGCCAAACCAATTGGCGCCGCCGCCTTCGTCCATGTTCCGTGTTCGCAAGTTTAGATGAAACACATTCAGTTCAATAGAAAGAAGAAATATCAAAATAATCGAAATATCGAAATATCAATTCTGCAAACGGAGAAAAAAAAGCCTGTACATTATTTCGACGAATTGAACCCATAGGTGCGGAATAACTTTTCCTCTTTTAAATAAATAATAAAACAATTGTTGAGTTGAATTCGGTTTTCGCAAACTTCATAAATCTTTCATCGCCGAATGTCACTAATGAATCTATAAACTGTAAAGGTCTAGACACACCGGACGCGATTCGCAACGCGACGCGATTTTTTAGTTTTTGAAAGTTATAATAAAACAGGCCAATGATAGCAAATTTTAAAAGATATGTAGATGTTATAACGCTTCTAAATACCTATTTGGAAAGTTTAAACTAGGATCAAAGTTATCGGTCAATGAAAATTGAAAAATCGCGTCGCGTTGTCGTGACGCGATTTTTCGATTCTCACTGGGGCCGGTTGTATAAAAAAGTGATTAAAGTTAACTATAGTTAGTGGAAACGTCATCCAATAAGAAGCGCGTATTTGAGAGTTAATCACTATTTAACTACAAAATAGTGATTAAAAAGTAATTAAGAGTTTTATACAACCGGCCCCTGATCGATAACTTTGATTCTAGTTTAAATTTTCCAAATATTTAGAAGGGGTATAACATTTTAAGTTATTTGGTCTACATATCTTTCAAAATTTTCTCTCATTGGCTGTTTTATTAACTTTCAAAACCTAAAAAATCGCGTCGCGTTGTCGAATCGCGGGCGGTGTGTCTGGATCTTTAAAGGCCCATATACAGACCACAGGCGGCCCAATCTCGCAAGGGTCAGTATAGACTTATAGTATAAATGTATATTATATTATATTAATGTATATTATAGTAAAAATACGTCGTAAAATATAAATTTTAAAATGAAATTGACTTGCCTATTTGATAGTGTGTGTTCTCCTTTTATTCCTCCTTTGTTGGACTAATATTTTCCGAGACTTTGTACTCGATGTTACTAGTATACATGAAACATGATAAAGGCTAACATTCCCGATCGTCGATACGACGGCACGGCACTTCGAATCGAAAATTCTCACACTCAAATCGCTTTATTCTCCAAAAAAAAATTCGCCAGCATGTACAACAAATGCCGTTCTTCGAAAATACAGAGGTACTTCGGCGAGATGTACAAGTTTTGGACCATATTTTAACAATGGAAATCAAAACCCATTTTATATTGAACTTGCCCAGGCCGAAAATTACTACGGCGAACGTCTGCGCAACCAGGCCTCCTTTACCGTTGGATTTACAGGGGGGAAGCAGATATTTCCGGTAACAGCCAGCCAATCGCGGCCGCGATAGCAACTGTTTACATTATTTGAAATTTGATATTCAAAATAAAAACTCCTTCGATCGGATACTGTATAAAACTCGAGATGTTGTCGAAGAAACGAAAACTAAACGACGGAGATTGGAGAAATTTAAGGAAGAAGTAATATACAGCGGCTCTTTGTTGGAAAGCATGGTAGAATATGATACTTTAATTCGAAATATTATCGTGAATATATTAGTGGCATCCTCCCCCCTGTAAATCCAACGGTAAAGGAGGCCTGGTTGCGCAGACGTTCGCCGTAGTAATTTTCGGTCCTGGGCAAGTTCAATATAAAATGGGTTTTGATTTCCATTGTTAAAATATGGCCCAAAACTTGTACATCTCGCCGAAGTACCTCCGTATTTTCGAAGAACGGCATTTGTTGTACATGCTGGCGAATTTTTTTGGAGAATAAAGCGATTTGAGTGTGAAATTTTTCGATTCGAAGTGCCGTGCCGTCGTATCGACGATCGGGAATGGTTAGCCTTTATCATGTTTCATGTATACTAGTAACATCGAGTGCAAAGTCTCGGAAAATATTAGTCCAACAAAGGAGGAATAAAAGGAGAACACACACTATCAAATAGGCAACTGAAGTCAATTTCATTTTAAAATTTATATTTTACGACATATTTTTACTATAATATACATTAATATAATATAATATACATTTATACTATAAGTCTATACTGACCCTTGCGAGATTGGGCCGCTTGTGTACAGACCGGACGCGATTCGGCAACGCGACACGAATTTTCAATTTTCAATGACATTTAAATAACTTTAATAGTTTTCTATGTTTTTCAAATATTCGGAACCACTTAAGCAATTTTAGCTATTTGGTCCGCATATCTAGTAAACTTTTTATCCTTCGACGGTTTTATTTGGTTTTAAGAACTGAAAATTCGCGTCGCGTTGTCAAATCGCGTTCGGTCTGTGTGGGCCTTAATTTGCCTATCAAATATTCAACGCGTCTCCATGGGAGACCCGTCACGTCACCCGTCACGCAGATGCACTCAACATGTAAATATTATGATGAATTAATGTTTTCTTATCTATTTATACTTCGACAAGGGCTCTGTTCTTAGTGAAAGATGCAGGCTGATGTCGCTGGCTGCTCTTCGTCGTCTTCGATACAGATGTGTGGAACGTTTGGAGTCGTATGCCTGCGTGTGGCTTAGCTTTTAAGAGCGAATATTGAAGAACACTGCATCTTGTGAAATGTACGGCTTTGTGAATCACGCTTTTCAAAAGCTTATCGAGCTTGAATACGGCGTAGAAGTGTGGGAAGAAATTTGGTAAGGAAGCTCGACACACGTATTTATAACGAACTGCCTAGTAACAGGAATACCTTTCGTGGTATTTGATAACCGATCTGAATACATGCATACAATTCTTAAGACAGCTATTCCATGATGTATGAAAATATACTGCAATCTATTGTCTATAGCAAATTGTATTTACCCGAGTTGCTAGCCGTATAGCTTCACTCGTTCACGCTGCCGTTGGCATTGAAAACATCGTATATTACGGGCTTATTTTCGTCGTATATTACAGGCTTATTTACGGCTAAGCGTATAGCTAGCCGTACATGTAGTCAATCGTAATTTCAGTACCATTTCAATCTCATTCATGCTTGCATGCTATATCATATATACTTGTATGTCTGTTGTGATTTTTAATATTTATACTTTGTTAGATATAGAATGTGTTCATATTATTTTGTGTATAGTGATCAAGCAAATATTGACGGTGATGATTTATATTCGTTCGACGAGCGACGAATATATAACGACCAAGATCTGTCAGATTTGGTTAGCATCGCGTGTGAAGTTTTGGGTAAGTCTGTCAGATAATTTTCTGGCTGAGTTGTCACCTTTATGTCGTGGCTCTTTCTGTGAGTTTGTGTATATATTACAATGGACGAAGATGCATTCAAACATGACATATTATCTGTAATTTCCATTTATTACACTAATGCAGTGCCAAGACTGTGCATATAATATGTAAGGTCAAGCACACTGGGAACAGGGGTTATCAAAGGCATACCATACTCATAGTAAATTTACAAGCACGGCTATAGCAACTAATCACGGAACAGGGCTATTACAGATAACCTTTTTAAAAGTTATTGCACTTTTTATTAGTTAGCAAACGTATCATCTTGCAATGTAATCGCATGTTTGATCACAGATATACAGGCGTTAATTAAACCAGTGGAGTTATATTTAGCCCGAAATATAAAATGCCAAATGGCATTGCGAAAACGTTCGACTATCAATTTACAAGTATTAGCCTACGACACATGTTTGCAGTCTGTACTGAAACCTTGTATACACAATGATTTCTCATGTTTAATATCGATAATTGATGAATTTATGACATTTATGCCAAATACAGATGCAAGTACTCAATAATTGGAAGCTTAAATGATCACTATAGACTTGTTTTTTTTTACTTAAGTTTAGCTGTCTTGACATTCCGGTGAAACCTTGTATACACAATCATTTCTCATGTTTAGTACCGATAATTGATAAATTTATCACATTTATGCCAAATACAGATGCAAGTACTCAGTAATTGGAAAGCTTATAAAATAATCACTAGTCAGACTTGTTTTTTTTTACTTAAGTTTGCGACACGTGGGCAAAATGACTGCAGGTTTAACAACAGCTGCAGCTTCACATAAATTCACTACTAAACGGCCCACTGCATGCATGCGCATCATGTCGTATGAGCTTATAAATTTTCAAGGCATTGTTCAATAGCATTTGTGTTTTAAATGCTTTGTAAAACTTAGTAACATAGTAGAAAGAGCTCTTTATATAATCGACTACCAACAGTTTGTGCATTGTTCGAGAAACATGAAAGTAATTTGTTGTTGTTCTAGAACCATATAGCTATCAATCACGCGCAAAAGAATTTTTCGCTGAAATTTGGCGACGCTTGTTTTAACTATAGTAGCGATTTTTAAATCAGCGTGACAGCCCTTTAACATGAGCACATGGATGACCGAAAATACACACTTAACGAGTTATGTTTAAAAAACTTGATTTCGCAATTTCCTTTATTTCGTTTTGAACCACAATATACGTCGTGGTTTTGGCAGCTCATAAACTGCGGTCTTTTCATCATATTTCATTTGCGTTCTTGAGGACTTTAATTATTCTAATTCAGCCCCATGTTGACATTTGGCTATTAAGAAAAAATGCTGTCGTCCCGGTACCGTGTTTTCCGATTTTGATGTGTGTTGTAAATTTCAGCCGCACGTAGCGTTCTCCTGTAGTGTGGACTTTAAGATCTTTTTGTAATTTCCAACTCTATTTCCGAGATATTATCCGAAACAGGTTCATTCTGGGACAGATATACTGAGTATCAGGTTACCTTGACTACCAGAAATTCTTGTTGGGTGAACATAAATGTTGATGTCAAAGGTATTGAGTGAAAAAAATTTAATGAAATCAGACTAAAGTAGATTATTCTCGCATTTAATTAGGTGTTATTGTTGAAAGCTGCACCGTGATTTCAGCTAGTTAAAGCGCGTATTATTGAGGCATAATCATATCAGTGCAGACAATGAGACCAAGAAATATAAGCTGCAAATAGGGGCACCGCAAATCATAGTCACTCTACTATGCGCAAATAGAGAACATCTGCTGAAGGTAATCCTGAATTCCTTTGTTGAAGCAATAAACAGACCTTGCAGAATTACTGGAGTGTACAATTATGGCAAAAACTGGCAAAAACTATAAAAATTTTGTACCATTGAATAAATGAATTAAAGTTAAGGATATCTGTATAATAGTAGTATTATTACATGTGATCAAGTTTATCACAAAAAGTATACTTGGAATTCGTGTTCATATGTACTTTAGAGGTGTCAAAACTTTCACCTGATCTGATATCTAACTTAAGTGCTTAATGGTGGTGATTGGAATGCCAACAGCTTAAGCACAAAATTGCAAGGAAATTAAGGCCCGTTTCATACGTCGAATTTTGGTCGCGCCGAATGCAATTAAGACAATAGATAATGAGATGATAAACCTCATTAAGCTTCATTATCTATTGTTTGAATTGCATTCGACGCGACCGAAATTCGACGTATAAAACGGGCCTAAGCTGCGAAATATTTTAACCTCTTATTGAGATGTACATTGCCGGAAAATGCAAATATGTTTTTCCCAATAGATAATAAAAAATTGTTTATTAGAAATATTCGTTCCAGAGCAGTCGTCTGAGTCTAATTTAATGAGGATAAATGAGGTACATACATAGACAGACATAATCCTTTCAGATCTTCATTCAATTTGGACGTTTCGATTGCACGAGTATATTTCATGAATTATTAGAATTGTCAAGCATTTGGGACTTTTACAGCAGACTTTGGACTTTTTGGACTTTTCGATCGAGTTTCAGTATAATGTACTATACCAAAACTACTACTGTACTACTCATGACGTGTATTATACTGGGTGTATAAAAAAACGAGACCTTTAGAAATCAAGCTATTGTTGTTAAGCACAGGATATTATGCTCCTGGGAATTTAAAATTAGTCCTATGTTGGACGAAACCAAATTTAAGTTTTAAATAACTTCCGGTCATGCATAAAATTCACTTCTATTCGATTTTACCCACCCATTGCAGCATACGTGCAAAACATTCAAGGACAAGCACTCTCGTGCGAATTTTTGCGTGAGTATACAGCTAATTCAAAAAAGGATTTCCTTTGCAAACCTTACACTCTAAACCTTAAACTCTAATTGTGCAAAGCATAATGGGGGCATCATTTAATCAGTTTGGAAATCATACATGGGGCCCATTTCTTAGGGACATGGTAAATATCTCTTTACGAGAAAACTGATTCATTCACAAATAGCTGCAATATTCAACTGCCATGCAAGCTTGAAACTTGTGCTCCCATTGAGCTTTGCGCGCTTAAAGTTTAAGAGGGCCTCTCAGTAAAATCCACTCACTGGTTTGGGGAAGGAAAAATAGATTTAGCTCATATTTTGCATATGAACTAGACTTTGGTCAATATTAATCGAGCTTCTTTCAGAACTTTTCAACTTTCTGTTTTATAGGAGTTTATAGCCATGTTGAAATTTGACCTTGCGTGTTTGGATAAAACTAGCACGTGTGAGTTTTTCAAAGACCTCAAAAAGCACTCATCCTTCGGACTCTTTCTCCTATAAAAAAAAACCTTAAAAGGTTTAGAGTTTAAGATTTGCAAAGGACAACCTTTTTTGAATTGGCTGTACACTAATAAGCTTTATAGTTTATTTGTATAGATAGTGCAATTTTATAGGAGAAAGAGTCCGAAGGATGAGTGCTTTTTGAGGTCTTTGAAAAACTCACACGTGCTAGTTTTATCCAAACACGTGCTAGTTTTATTCGCTCAAACTCGTTCCCATTGTTTTCTTCCTGAAAATGTGCCTTTTAGCCGATCAAAATGTTCAAAACTGCTCAGCCAATCAGAAATGAGAAATGTTTTCATGCATATTATTAGGTTTAATAAAGTACATCATGTAATTCCAGGCATAAAACGAAATGAGCTTATGGAACAATTCGGGCAGAAGTTCTTCGAACATTGCCACTCGTCAGGATGGAAGAAGATTTTACCTTGCCTGGGCGGTAATTTGAGGGACTTTCTTTCAGGACTAGATAACTTACATGAACAGTTATTAGTCCGTTATCCCGGTATGCAGGCACCTTCATTTCGTGTGGAGTCAAAACATGGTAGTGATGTCCTCACTGTGTTTTACTACTCTATCCGAGACGGGCTGCACTATATGGCTGTTGGAATGATAAAAGCAGCCGCGAAACAGTTGTACCAAAGTGATGTAGACGTTTCCATTGATTCCTACGATAAAGATGAAGGGTGCGCAAAATTTTTGGTGCGCCCTAAAGATTTCACCGGAGCTATTAAGCTACTACCTCGTCGTCGGCAATCCAGAATGGTGCGAGAAGATTGTCAGGTCGCTGCATATAAATCGACTATAGGCACCTCGACGTTTTGCAGAGCGATACCATTTCATATCATGTTTGATCGCAATATGGTCATCTTTCAAGCAGGAATATCCATGCGCAGAGTTCTACCTACGCTTGTTGTTGGTCGCACTACAGTACATGAAGTATTCGAGATTGTACGCCCACCAATTCGAGATGAGTTTGAAGCAATTTTGTCGCGAACCAATTCTGTTTTCTTGCTCAAGACCGTAGAAGGTATATTAGATTCGACCACATTGTCCACCGTCTCTGAAGATGATAGAGAAAATATTGAGTCCCCTACCATGAGGTTTAAAGGTCAAATGTTGTACCTGGAAGAAGCCGATTGTATCTGTTATCTTTGTTCACCAATGGTATTGAATTTAGACGGTCTCAATGAGAAAGGTAATACTTATTGTTGAATATATCGGTTTGACCTTGCAAGCTAAAAATAACGTTTTTCTTAAAAATTATACATAGTGTCTAGCTTCTGTAGTTGAAATATTTTTCTCATAACGTGTATAAATACTGTATACAGGGTGTATCAAAGAAAAGGCAATCCAAATTTTGCATGTTATCAAGCGCTTGGTATTATTCGACTTATTCAGTTTATAGATTTATTCGATAAAAATGATGAAATACGATTTTCCAACTTTGGGAAAAATATTCCCCTAGGTCTATACCTGAGTGATATTCCAATCCACGATGCAACACGTGACCTGATTTTGCTATCTGAGCACCGCAACGCTGAGTGTGCCCTCACACAACGTCTTCAAATCGTCACAGACAAACTCCAACAAACAGCAAGAGAACTGAAGAAGGAACAGCAACTGGCTGACAAGCTTCTCTACAGTATCCTACCTCCTTCTGTGGCTAACGAACTAAGGTTGAAACGTCCTATAAAAGCGAAGAAATTTGAAGTTGTGACCGTACTATTCAGCGGGATTGTTAATTTCGCGCAGCACTGCAATGATATCACAGAACCGATGGAGATTGTCAATTTACTCAATAATGTTTACATGACTTTTGACAATCTCATGGATACGTTTGAAGATGTCTATAAGGTAATATATACTTTTTTATTGTAATATAGCGATTCCCGTGCAGTAGATGGGTGAAACGGGCTATTCCATTTAATATCTGAATACCCCTGTCGAGGACAGCTGGAATTCGCCACGGGTACAGTGCATTTGTGCTGGAACACTTCAGGGTTACAGTATATTTGAGCTGGAATTCTTCAGGGGTACCACATAAGTGAATTGGATTTCCTCAGTGGTAAGGGTTTTCCAGGTTTTTAACGTGGAGTTCCTCAGGGGGAAAGGTTTACGAAACCTGGAATTCCTCAGGGAAGGATTCATGGTGAAACATGGAATTCCTCAGGAGTATGTGCTTTCAGTTTGAATTCCTCAGGAGTGAAGGCAGGGGTGCCGACTGCAAGTAGATGTGCCACATCTTAATTGACTTTAATGAATAAACGTACTTATTTTGCTAAATGTTACATCTTCTTGCATGTGCTGCGTGCGACTGACGGTCGATATACAGTAATTGGCAAGAATATCATTTTTACTCCACTGTGCGAAAGGGCCTCAAAAGTCACTCATTCAGTCGGAAAATAATCACCGAACCTTAAGTCGAGTACGTCAACCATTTCCTTTTCAGGATGACCATGCTTAGCGCTATATATAGAAATTAACATTTAACATGTTTTGCTCGGGTGTTTTTCAGGTCGAAACAGTTGGTGATAAATATATGGCAGTGTCTGGCTTACCAACAAAATGTAATACACATGCTCATCATGTCGCCAAGATGGCTTTGGATATGATGGACGCCGCGAATAGCATATTAATCAGAGGTCAGCCTTTCAAGGTAAAAACTCCGCTTATATACCGCACTTGAAAATTAGATAAATAGATAGATGTATTAATAGATATCTCCCCGCAGTGCTTTTAATTTAAGAACCTATCACACACCCACATTGCACTATTTAGTAGTCACTAGTGATCGGCTGTCACTGATACCAAATATTCGATTCCGTCAATATCAGAGACTGGAGGAAAAGTATCGACACTGCCGAAAAATATTGTGTTCCCGATACTGTGTTCCCATATCCTCTTCAAAATATTTCTTTTGTTCCCTTGTTCCTTTGAAATTTTTCACCATGTGTCCTTGTTGCCTGCAGACTACATGTTCACTACGACTTTTTGGTTTTGTTCCTGCGTCTTTGTCACATAATTTGCCGCCTTTTCGCGTTCCCTAGGAACCCCTTGCATGGAGACCCTTACAAGTGACGGGGAAGTTTGTTAGAGAAGAGATCAGATGAGACTCCTTTATCATCGACGAAACAGATGATAACATTGTCCTCTATACATAGAATTTTAATTTAAGATATACACCTGTTTTTGTCGAAATGGGCAGTTCTAAATTCTTCCTTGGATGACCCCTGGTATTCGACAGCAATTGAAGTTTGGAGACTCATTATAATTACAATATAACTCATTATCTATGTCTTTGTCTAGGTGTATTCGGGAAAGTGGTCCTTCGTCGTCACGTACGCGTGTGTATTGTAGTTTTCCCAGCTAACCATGCAATAGCAATGTTTTAGGAAAGTAATTATCTATCGGTGTCTCGAACAATTCGGGAACTCAAAAGTTGCTATTGGTGGATTTGGCGAAAATACAATACGCACGTGGCAACGAAGGACTACATTTTGCATAACGTTGACTAACATAGATAATGAGCTATATTGTATTCTAATGTTTCCAAACCATCTCTTATTTATTAGGGCCCAAACAATTGACACTCTCTAAAATGTTCTTAAGATGATTCTGTATAAAGTAAAATAATCATTTCAGTATTTCAAAGGTAATCAACTGAACGAAACTGGCCCTTTTGTTTCTAGATAACAATCGGAGTTCATTCCGGCGAAGTTGTAGCAGGCGTTGTAGGTCAGAAACTACCACGATACTGCCTATTTGGTAACACTGTGAATTTAGCAAGTAGAACTGAAACGACTGGCGAAAAAGGAATGATTAATGTCTCTGAGCCCGCATACAAGTACGTAAATTAAACATGCTCTTACTTGTTATTCTACTAAATATAGTTCTACTCCTTGCAACAATTATTCGCACATATCAACAATGCATACAACCACTATAAGCGTACAATACAGGTAATTGCAATACAGAGTATCACCAGAACTCGAAAAACATATACGTCAGGTTATCGCGTCAAAATATTCAAGAATATGACTGCAATCGGGGGATCCGCAGGATATTGTCTGTGTGATTGTTTGACGTTTTAACAGCAATAGGCATAGGACTGTAGTCCCATTCCTTGACGTTTTAACACGGAAAACTGATACCTCGCGTGATAAGTGAAGTATGTCAGATGTTTGTAATGCTTTGTAAAATGCTCACACTTTCAATGTCCTATTTCGACAGGGCGAACCCCTTCCTTAGACACAATTTTCATTCAAATGTCTTTATCTGTAAGCCTGATGACGTTATTCTGATTGCAAAATTTTGAAGTTTAACCAGGCTTATTTTTAAATCTTCTGTTACCAAAATAAATTTTGTTTGCTGTGGAATACACTGGAAAATTGCAAACATTTCAATACTTTGGTTTCCTAGATTTTCTTAGAAAATTTTCCGGAAAATTTCCACGCTTTCCTAGAACATTTGTATACTGTCAAAGAGTGGAAATGGTATTCTGTCTTGATTTTAATGACAAAATGTAAATTTGTTTTCATTTCAATCCATATCTTGGGTTTTCAGGATGCATCTCTTCGAAATTTGGTTCATTCTATATTTCATCGTGTATGTTGACACGAAAAATGAAAGAAAAGTCGTAACATTTTTTACTTCTTCGCTTTGCAGATGTCTTCAGTCGCCCAGAGATCCAAGTTTAAAGTTTGAGTGTAGAGGTCCTGTTGCAATGAAAGGCAAGAAGGAACCGATGATTACCTACTTCCTGTCTCGATCCTCATCCAGAGAAATCCAGAATAGTACAAGCAATACAAACATTCGTGTGGTCATTAAAAATTCAGATTCTAAACGCAGAATGAAACCACGAAAATAGACTATATTTATCACTAACTTGTACGAGACATGTGTATCTACCCCATGACCATGCAGTATATATTACTTGTAAAACAAGAGCGATCGAACGTTGTAAGTTGTACGATATAATGTAAGAAGGTTATCTTCATATATACTATTATAAATTGTATCAATTATAGCAATATTAAGATTTATAGCAATCTGTTGAAAGTGCTAAGGGACCTTGTACTGGTTGCTGGCATGGGCAAGATTGGGGATGAAGTGGGAAAATTCTTGCACTTTTCTTTTTGGAATATGGGTGAATATTTTACAACCACTGCTCAACGAAATAGGAACATTTTCAAGGTGTGATGTGAAATACGGAATATTCTTTAACTCGGTGCAATAATCTCATGCACGAGTGACATCACTTAACACAGTTAATTAAAGTAAGACATGTAATCGATATGTAGTTAAATTGTTCTCCTGGTTCTTGTAGTTCCCTTGGTTCTTCTTGTTGTTTTAATTGTCTTGGTTCTTGACAAAAACTTCAAGTACCAAGAGAAGAACCACAAGAACCAAGAGAGCAAAGAGAACCGTAAGAACCACAAGAACCCAGGATAAACACAAGAACCAAGAGAACTACCAGAGTCACAAGAACATGGGTAGCCAACCAAGGCAACCACCACAAGAACCAAGGCAACCACCACAAGAACCATCCAAGTACATATAGATTACATGTCGTACTCCAACTGTGTCGAATGACGTCACTTATTAGGTTATTACACCGACTGGCAAATCCACCCTGGGCATATGGAATTTTTAAGGTCCAAAACACCGCGTCATTCCCCAACGAAAAAGAAAAAGTTTAAAACATTCGAGGTGTTAATAGGTTTGCATTTCACTTCCTTTGGTTCCGTTGAGAAGCAAATTGTTACTTGGAAGGAACGCTATTGCCGTAGACTGCGCAGCAGGGGTTTGTCTGCGGACGGCGGCGAAGAATAAACTACTATAGCCGCGGAAGAAGACTTTTTCTACACTGTGACTTGCATTGTCAAATTGGGTGCCAGAGTCATAAAGAAGTTTGATCGCTAGCATAATGTTTTGTAATATAGTAATTTGAATCCGTCACTCAATTGAGTTGCATTGCTTCAACAGGCAGAGGCGTCAGTCTGGCATTTAATATAGGCCGGTTTAATGGAAGTGAGGATGGTTCTGAAATAGAATTGAAACTCTGCGTGTCCTCCAAGACAAGCGTTAAGCCTGTTTTCCACTAGGCGGAATTGTGCGCGCGGAGCGGAATTTTTCTTTGTCTTGTGATTTCTCGGGTGGAACTAATTAGAAAAGACAAAGAAAAATTCCGCTCCGCGCGCAAAATTCTGCCTAGTGGAAAATAGGCTTTAAGTCATCATGAAAATATTTTGCACAATTAAATTGAACAAGACTCGCTTCCAATCCCTGTTGATTCGATAGCACAATGGGTCATGCGAGTTCGAATCCCGCTCACGACAACGAATTTTTTGGAAATGTAACACCACGAGAGATAATACATTCTGGTTTGTTTGTATAAAAGTGATCTCTGAGGATGGTTCTCGAATATATGAAAGAATGTTTGCTTTTTAGAATATTTTTGTTTCCACATAATGTGATAAAACGTCATTTGAAGTTAATGGCACAGTTTGATCAGACCATTTGCTTGTAATTGCCATACACAAATTTCCTGTTGTATATAATTATTACAGTTTCTGCGGCCTGATAAGAAATCAGCTCAGTGCCTCATTCAGCGCCTCGACCAACTCCTACGCTTTTTCGTGCTCTTCCCGCGTACTCAATAGACCATAGGGATCGAGCTTAAGATACACCAAATCGATCTACGCCGCGGACGTTACGAAAAACTGCCGCTATTATCACAGTTTTACTTCACGGGTAAAACTATGGATTGTTGTTGGCAAAGAAAGCCAGAGACATGAGGAAAACAAAGTAAAACTAGTCCGACTCCCGTTATTAGTGACTGTTTTTTAGTCGCGTCTGCGTCGCAGATTTGGTGCATCTTAAGCTTCCTAATAGAGACCTTACGATTTAGGACGGCAACGCGACGGCAACGGCTACCAATACAATAAATCATTGAAAATAATTGAATAATTACAATATATGAATAATTTAGACATTATCCTCGCTTTGCTTACAACGCTAAATCACAGATTTTCACGTCTCAGTGATACAACGGCTGCATTTCAAGCCGCAACAAGTGCAACTTCAAACTGGGTTCAGCATACGGAACTCTTCCCAAACATAAAACCCATGCCTTCAACTTCTATAAGACTGTATTAAATTCATACGATTGATAATATACCACGAATTATCCGTTTACTACCATTTATTTAAAGGAGTTTGTTTTGGCCGTCGTCGTCGCGTTGCCGTCCTAAAATCGTAAGGTCTCTAATAACTCGACTGAGCACGCCAAATCATGACAAAAATCTCAAATTCGTCACTGAAAAATTAAAGTGTGAATCTAGCCCTTTGAGTCCATTTTTGAAGGCACTCGAAATTAACCGAACCGTGCGATATTGGCTGTACTTCGTTGAAGGAAAACTCGCTCCAAATACAATAGGTGATATTCTTTTAATTGTTAGCGGTTTCTCCAACGTGCCATATCTAATGCATGACATAGGTAATTTGCGGATCCCATGTCCTCTTTTTCAGGTCTTTCGAGCAACGTCCTGAGCATGTTCTCCTCCTCTTCTCTACCATGCTGCGACGTTAGAATTAAGGTAATTCCGCAGTTTTGCATTGCGCACTTTTACTGCGCACATCTTATAACTTATAATTTCATCCATTATACGTACCGTTAAAAAAATCAATTTATGACAATGTTATGTTACTTCAAAACATCTTTGGTTACATTCGTGCAAAGAATTACGTTAAAATCAATGTTTTCAAAAAAGACATACAAAAGTGTAGCTAGGGTTCTGTGTCTGTAGTATATTTATTTACTTGTATTTCACGTTTTAATGCCACAATTTCCTAAAAAGATCGGTGACTCCCGTTTTTTAACTGATCATTTATTTCTTTAATGCCTTTTACATTTCATATCCGATATTAAAAGAAAAAATCATTTCTGGATCTTGAAAAAAAATGCTTTATCAATGCATGTTCTCAAAGAAAGATATGTAAAGAAATGTAGAAAAGACATTTGTGGATGAGAATTGTACACGTTAGTAGTTTCATTTTGCTCAAAACACAATATTTTTTCAAAAATAATTACAAGATAGGTTTGCTAAAGCAAAATCCGCGCTAAAAACGTCAATAAATATCAGGCTGTTGTGAGTTTGCTGTTACTCGTAATGAGCGTCAAGATGGCGCCATATTGGGGTAAAGGTGGTATATTGTGATTGTCATATCTTCTTAACGAGTTCAGTGACCCCGACTTTTTTGTGTGATTTTACTTTAAGTATATCATAAACTCCATGCCTGGGAAGTTTCAGCACATTCTCATTTCGGTAAACAATTACTGCGGAATTACCTTAAGTCACTGAAAAGTGAGAAAGTACTTCCAGCTTATGGCGAACACCACATCGTTCACTTCCCTATACTTAGCTGTTTGTACTGGTAATCTTAAAAGCTTCAAATATTTATTACAGTAATCAAATTCCTTAGAGCTCATTTTTGAGCAGAAAATCAAATTGAGACCGCGTCTTCAAGTATAGCTTTGCCGTCTTTTCTAAATCTTTCTATCAACGCTTCCCAACGCTTTCCTGCAGATCCCACTAATCTGCGCAGTTAGTCCAAAATTGCTAAAACCGCTTATCATATTCGCTGCACTGTTGGCAGCATTCATTAAGTGCTATCAGTCGGGTCAAATTAAAACTTGGGCCTGTTTGGACTAAAGATTAATTCTGAATCGAACGCACCGGGACTTTCCTGCTACGGAGCACTAGCTATTCCTCCCAGAAACAAATTTTTAGCTTCCAGCCGCGGAGTGCCTGTGCAATGCATAATGCTTGCTGTGATTCAGGTCAATATTCCAAATTATTCAGATTGCTATGAATAACATGCATATTCGATCAGTGGAAAATTCATTATAAGCGAAAAATTACCATGGCAACCAACATAATGTTAGCCAAAACTAATCTTGCACTGAAATTCAAATTGACATGTTTGAGCTCAAACAAAGCGCAGTTCATTTGGCTTGGTTGCATTAAACAACGATGTGTGACGACGCTCAAATCTAAGTTAAATGCCCTTTATCTTTTCTTGCTAGTTAACGGGTTAAAACCAAAATCCAACATCTATATTTCTTAATTGAAGCGGTAAAATTTCACTCGCGGAGTATGCTCAATTCGGCATAATCTTTTGATTAATAAAAGATCAACGATGATTGGCCTGCATGATTGGAACAATAATTAGTATTGTCAAAAGCTATATGTATATGTTCACCGTTCTTTAATATACGAACACCGCAGCTGAGAGTTAATGACATTCAGAGCTGTTTCTTGATAGCGTTGTGAATACGTTTCTATTTTAGACCAGCTGCTTGGCTATGGAAGGCTTTTCTCCGTAGTGTTTGCTACCTCTACTTGTATTATCTTTACGAGTCTATCAATAGAATTTAGATATGGTAAGTGCATAATGCTAATATAGAACTGATGTTGAAATTGACATATGCAGCCAATGTTTATGTTTGAATCTAGTGTAGCTAAGCGAATATGGAATGAACTTTGGGTCATATATTAGCATCATCTGCTGAGTCTGAATTTTGATAAAACTACCCTTTGATTTCGGTGCGCTATGGAGGTGACTTCAATTTTGATAAGTTTGCGGAGCGAACGACGTCTGAAATGATCGTTTGTTATTATTGACTTGATGCTCGCCAATAGTGTAATTTAGTGAAGTGCGGAGCAAACGATACACAAGTGGTACGGCATGGATCGATGCAAATATAATGAAAGGAAGGGAATTTTAAAGGCAGCAAAAGACTAAAATCGTAAACATTTATATATATATATATATATATATATATATATATATATATATATATATATATATATATATATATATATATATATATATATATATATATATATATATATATATATATATATATATATATATATATATATATATATGTAAACAAACACGGCCTTGCTCTGCTGGTATTAATATACCGGAATGAAATTTCGTCGCCAATTATATTGATACTGCACCGGAGCTATAGCTATA